GCGCAACTTTTTATTTCCAACTTTGCTCAAGTGAAAAACTTGGATAGTGTTTAAAAAAAATAAAATCAAAAACAAAGAACAATCATCTGCTCCTGGAAAAAAAAAACAAACAAACAACCCACACAAGGAGAGCAAGTGTGTCTTGGTTATTAAACCGAAGGCCCTTGTCCCAACCCACGGCTCAGGCTGCTGCCTCGGTCGGCCACCCTCTTTCTCCAGTGGTCTGACTGCAGAGTAGCCTCAGCCTCCAGGGGCAGGGCACTGCGGCTGTGAAAATGACTGGCCTCTGGCTCTGTTGCTCATTTGATGGTAGGTGGGCTGCGGGATTACTGCGGGAAGTCAAAGTCCCGACGGCCCCCACAGGGACGCTGGTAGCTGACATCTGAAGCATCATGAGAGAGCACACTCCGCTGTGTTAGAATGTGGCTCTGAGAGTTACAAATGATGGGAAGAAGAGAACCCACCCAAACACAAACCCAAGACAGCAAGTGTGCTCCACCCCATTAGCACAGATGCCTCTGGCAAGAAAGCCCCACAGCTGGCAGCCACAGCACCAAGCTGCCCTTCCGATGGCCCGCCCAACCCCTCCGGCGGCCCATCCCCTCCGGCAGCTGGCCTTGTCCAGGACAGTGTTTGCCAAGTCAGGGGCCTCGTGGGACTTGAACTTGGAAGGGATGGTTTTCTGCCAAGCAAGGCTGAATTTCAGATACCCAAACTAGGAATGCGCTGTGTGTATCTTCTGAAATAAAAGTCGTAACAACTACAGCACCATAATGGAATGCCGGCCTCCTCCTTCCAGGTCCTCTGGGCCCCAGAAACTTCTTTTCTTGAGCTCCTGGAGCCTTCACTTTGGGGAGATGGAAATCAGGCTGTCTGTACCCCGTACGCCTCTCCTACCAGCCCCTTAATTGGCAGCTGGGCGATGGTACAGGGAGAGACGGCACAGGCTGTTTGCCTGTTCACTTCCCTGCTCCTTACCTATGTTTCTTAGAATTAGGAGTGTGGGGAGGTGGGGGGAGGGCTGACATCTCCACCTGGAGGGGGCTCAGTCTGGGCTGTGTGCAGCCTGGGGCCAGGCAGAGCATCCCTTTCAAAGGCTGCTGAGTCTCCTACATCCCATCCCAGGTCAGACACACCCGTCAGAAGCAGCTCACTCCAGGGCTGGCTGTGACTGCTGAGATGAGGACTTATATTGATGTTTCCATGGCAACATCTCCCCTCCTCCTTGCGAGTGGCGGCTTGCCCCTGTTCACAATTGAATAATTTTCCATTGAGCTGTCACAATTAATTGGTAGATTTTTATTAGCCTTTTAGAACCACACTGGGCCAGGCCCAGCTTGGCACCTCACAGTATTCCGGTGTTTTCCGTTCTATTGGTGACTTACGTCCCCAGTAGCAGCTCTCAGTCCTCAGCAGCCAGGAAGCCACTTCATTAAGGCTGACAGATCGGAGTCACAAAAGAACCGTGTTGACTGGGGAGCATGGCTGGGACGTGAGGTGAGGAGGGAGGCCGGAACCAAACACCTGACGCTGTGGTACACAGCCTTCCCCAGAGCTCACATTAGGCTCCCGTGAGCCTTGCGCATCCTAGGCTGCAGTCACAGGGACAAGGCAAAGGCCCCCGAGTCTGTGGGGCTCAGCGCTCTGCCTTCCCCACCATCTCAGGAAGACATAACTGAGGGCGTGTCCAGCAGAGGGACGCTGTTGCTCCCCGCTGAGACATGATGGACACTGACAGGCTCCCTGGGTCAGTGTCTGTGAAGGCAGCCCCGAGATACAGGCCATTGGGGTTCCACCCAGCTCTCTCACCTGCCAGGGATGCCCGCCCTGCTTTAGCCTGCCTCAACCCCTCCCATGGCTCATTCATACACATAAGAGACAGAGACAGACAGACAGATCACCAGCCGGGGCGGAAGGGCGGGCACCCTGGAGCCAGGGCCCTGGCCTTTCTCTTCACTCACCAGGTTGTATACTGCCCACGAGAGCCAGTGACCTGCACGCTCACTCTGCGGGTAGGTGCTGGCTCTAGCAGCCCCCGTGCATGGTAGGCAAGCTCTCTACCACTGAGCTGTATCCCAAGCCTGGCAGGCTCTTAATTTAGCAGGATTAGATTAACCAAGATGGAGAAGACTGAGATGAAGGGGGAGGCCTTCAAAGGAACGAAGCTGCTGTCATTACCTTTAATCATTAAAAGAACCAACACAGCTACTTTTTTTTTTCCAGCTTGCTTGTACATTGGAGCTCAATAGCCCTGAAAATCAGAACTCTCAGCCTGCTGAAGCATTGATCTGCTAAACCAACTTGCCTATGTGGTGCTAAACTCCCTCTTTAACCCCCTGCCCCCAAGTTTCTCACGCTCTGGCAAGGTCTAGGCCCTCTTCTGTCCTCCTGGGAATGAGGAAATCACTCTTCTACAGACTGGGGAAGGGGAGGCTCTGGGAAACACCACCCCAAGGCAGACTCAGCCCCAGGCTGCTCATCCGCTGGCCTGGCATCTCTAGCTCTCAACCTCTCTGTCTGTAGCTGCTCACTGTATTTATTCAAGACACAAGTAAGAGAGACGCATAGCGGTGCGGGCTTGTAATCCCCATCCTCCGGAGGCTAACGCTGGAGGATCAGAAGTTCAAGGCCAGCTTTGGTTTCAGAGTGAGGTGGAGGCAACCCTGGACTAATGAGGCCTGGTCTCAGAGAACAAAAAAATGAAAGAAAAAGGCAAATCTTCCCCGTGGTGTGCACATCTACACGTTATTAGCTGCTAAGATGGGTGGAAAACGTCCATCCATATTTTCCTTGTTTGAAATACTAATTAAATGCTTAAGGAAGAAAAAAAGAAAGGCCCAGGACAGCTAGATGCCCATCCTCACCTGCTCCAGTTCAAAGAAACCACAGGAGACCCACAGACTCCAACCTTGAGTTTCTGGTCACCCCATGCTCATGGTCTGTAGGCCCCAGTCCCAAAGACCCTGGGGCTGGGGACAGAATCCCAGAGGTGTCTGATTGCAGAATTAACATTAGCTGGACCAGGGGCTGGGTCAAGAGACGAAGTGACTAGCAGGGATGAAGGCAGTACCAATGATGGGGTGTGGCTGGGGGTTCTACTTAATGTCATCTGTGTAAAACCAGACTTAGAAACGACTTCCCAGGGGGCTGATAGTGCAGTAAGTACAGTGCCTGCCATGTAAGCATGAGGCCCTGAGTTCAAATCCGCAGCACCCATATAAGACCTGGGTGCATGTCTCTAATCCCAGTTCTGCTTGGAGGTGGGCGGAGTAGGTGGTAGTAATTGAAGAAGGTCCCTCGAGCTCATTGGCCAGCTAGCCTAGCTAACTGGTGAGCGGTGAGCTTCAGGTTCAATGAGGATGCCTTGAAAAATACACTGACAACATAGGATGTCAACTTAACATTGACATCCGTCCTACACACACACACACACACACACACACACACACACACACACACGGGAGTGGGGGGGGCTTCCTTAGAACACTCGAGTGGGATGGCATTGAGTTAAATCTGGGTCTGTGAGGCCAGGTCAACCAGTTTCCTGTTATAGATCCCAGCCGGCAGGGCGCTTTCGAAGGGCAGGATGTAGCCATCTGTACTTGTCTACCAACTACCTGATCTGGTAGATACAAGCTGTGTGGCCTTGGCTAAGCTGCTTCACCTCTCTGAGCCTCAGCGACTCTGCACTTCAGAGGACAGCACAGGCATTCCATGAGGTGACTTGGCATCTGCAACAAGCGCTCAGGTGGAGACCTGTCTCTGCAGCACAGACGCTGCTTCCAGAATATGTGCCTGTTACAAGAGTAGGGACACCCAGTAGCCAGCACCACCTGGCCTCCTTTCCTGAGCCTGACATGTGCAGTAGGTCTTTCTGTACCCCAGAATCCCAATGCAAAAAGCACGACTTCCTAACTTCACATGTGTGGGCAGAATTTCTGCTTGCCTTTTGTGTACATACTTATGAATGCACGCACAGGCACCATGGTGCACATGTGGAGGTCAGAGGACAACTTGCAGCAGTCAGTTTGCTCCGCCCACAATGTGGGTCCCAGGGATTAAGCTCAGAGGTCAAGCTTAGTAGGTGTTTTGCCCGGGGTGCCATCTTGCTGGCCCCTCAGAATGGGCATGTGCAGGGGAGCTTTTCTCTGGGCAACCCACAGCTATTAGATTCCAGAGAGCATCTGTGACCTAAGGAGATCAAGAAAGCCAGTTTCAGAGGACACGTTAGGACCTTGAGAGAAAGGAAGTGTTTTATGCCCCGGGCGGAGGTGACACGTCTCACCTCCCGTGGCCTCACGTGAAGCACTGAGAAAACTGGCCGGCAAGTACTTGCCTGAGGCCATGGGAGGACCATGAGCCGTCCATTTCACGCACAAAGGAGCAAGTGCTAGTAATGGTGACTGTCCCCGTTACCTTCCACTGTCCCTTTCCGGCTGGCTATAGAAAACCAGCCCGAGGGTCAGTGTCTAGAAGGCCGCTGGCCAACTCGGAGCCCCTTCCCTCATTTGTAACGCGGTGACAGAGGAGAGCTGGCCGTGTGGAGGGTTGCTGGGGTGGTAGGGCACCACATCCATGGTCCCCAGCAGAGGCTGTACTAAAACACGACTCCCCAGAGCCTGCCGGAGGCTCTGCTTCCCTCAGCTTCCAGTCATCCACTTCCTCTCAAATGTGAGAGCCGGCACCTTGAAGCCACACACCTGGGTAGCTAAAGGCAGGGCAGAAGTAGGCTCAGATACGGAGACATGCCAGGGAGGATTCACCCCGCCAGAAGAACCTCAGAGCTTACGTCTCTCTTGCTCCGGGCCTGGCAAAGAATGCTGACACCTTCTGTGAGGCTGACCAGAGCTGAGCAGCTGGTAACTGTGCCGAGGACACAGGGTGGCTGAGACATCCTGTTGGTGGATGGCAGCCAATATTCTGTTTTATGACAGCCAACTGTGTTGTGACCCTTTGGGACATGAGGGGTGGCAGGGATGAATCACAGACCAAGCAATCTGTCAAGAGTTCTGTAAACACTTATTTATTTAAAAAATACTACAGAGAGATTTGGATTCAAAAAACAGAGTCATATACAGAAACAAAATGTACTGGACTGAGAAAAAAGGAATGCCATTGGTGTGCCAGAGGGGCACAGTGGCGAACTATTTACATGTCATTTGTAAGAGAGCATGTCTATTAAAAAAGTGTAATACCAAAGTATAATGCAAAAAATAGTGGCACATCATGTCAGCAACGACAGACCGGTACCTTGTGAACATGGTGTCAGGGCATGGGGATGTCTGGGTTTTCAAGGCTTCTGGCAGTGTGGTACTGCCTCCCCTGGGCTGCAGAACAGCTGTTGGAGGCAAGGAGGTGATGTGCTGAGGACCATGGAAGAACCATCTAGAGGAAGTCATCTCTACCAGAAAATACAACCCGAGTCTAGGTGACTGGTGTGGGACTGGGGCCAGCGCAGAGCAGCGCAGCGGAGAGCAGGAGCAGGGATTGTGGAGGTGGCTGGGCCTGGCCCGGTCCAAGCCAAGGAGGGAACCCTGCTCTTCAGCTGGCTGCTGTGAGTCACAGTCAAGGGGACACAACCTGTCTGCGTGCTCACCTCTGGCCTGGCTGCTGGGGAAGGAAGACGTGCACCGGCTAAGCCTGTAAAGTCTATCCACCCCAGCCCGTGCTGCGGGGCTTCCCAGGACACTAGGCTAAGCCCTGTTCTCGGTAGTTAAGCAGCAGTTCTGAGGAGCAGTCAGGCCTCAGGAGAGCCCTGGGCCTGCAGTCATTCCTTCCTATCTGTGCCGAGTGGCTGCTCCTTTCTGTGCAGAGCTTTGAAATGCTCAAAACCACCAGAAAACCAGACCCTCGTCATAAAGGCAAGGACCAGAGAGGATGGGCCTGACCTCAGGAGCAGGGGCGAGGAAGACAAATGCTCACTAATTCCGATCTTTGGGGCCCCTTGGAACCCTAATCTTGGCTTGGCCAATGAGCGACTGCCACCCATGAAACTCAACCTTGCTACCCATGATCTTCAGGGCGCACTCTGAGGAGATAAAGAACAGATGACAGACCACACTGCTGCAGCTCTAGCTCCAGCACCCACCCACCTGGGCCCTTGGCTTTAGCACCTCATGACCCTCAAAGCAATAGCTTCCTTCACACGAGAAAACAATGAGCACAGGCTCTCCGGGACAGGTCCTAAGCACAGGGGCTCCCATGCCTCGGTGACCAGGTGCGGCAGAGGAGGATGTTCTGCGAGGACATGGAAAGGACAGCCCTTGTGAGCACTCCCAGTTGACCTCAGAGCCTGGTGGTCTGGCAGGCCAGCTGCAGTCTTCAGAGCAGGAGGCCCACACATAGGCAATGAAAAAAAGTGGCTTACGGTACCTGGGCTGGGAGGAAAGAACAGCTGGTGCACAACACAAGTAGAAGGGCCGATCACATCAGGCCCTGGCTCTGCCTGATGCACTGTAAAGCTCCTGGGCCAAGACGCCAGCTCCCCAGTCCTCTGTCCCCCATCCTTGCAGGCACAAAAGCCCCATGGATTGCAGCATCTCTGGCTGGCATGCACTGGCTGCTGCTACCTCCGTACGATGTCGCTGATCTCCTTCACAGAGCTAAGCAGCTTGCTGAAGTCCTGTGTGGCAGCTGGGCCACTGGAGGCTGTCGCAGGGCAGATCTGCAGCTCTCGGAGGTTGTTCTCCAGCTTGTTGATGGCCTCACGGAAGGCAAACTTGTTCCTCATCTGTTGGATGGAGTCCACGTAGCTCACACAGAATGTGTACAGGTTCTTGCCAGCCTCCAGCACGGCACTGTGGCTGGCCATCTGCTCTGAGTTCCGGGAGATGGCAAGGCACAGGGCCTCAGTGCTGTCCAGAACCACACCCTTGGTGATGGTGCCACTGGCGATGCGCTCTGGCGGCTGGCGGGTCTTTCGCAGAGACACGCGGGTTGATATGAGTGGGATGAAGGCCGCAGAAGATGGCTGGTCCCCGGGCACGGATGAAGGCGCTGATGCTGTGGCGGGTGTGGGGACAGGGCTGGTGGGGGTCCCTGGAGGCTTACTAGCTGACTGGGGCTTTGGCACGGATGGGGGCACAGGCTTTCTTAGTCCTTCTCCAGGCTGGCCAGCCTTGGTGGGGTCACTGCTCATAGCATCCACAGCCGGACTTGAGCATTTCTTCGCAGCCCCACCTCCCTCCCCAGGCACTTCTTGGCTGGGGCTCTGGGCAGGCTTTCCGGTTCTCCCTGAGGAGGCAGGTGGAGGTGGTGGAGCAGGCTTGAGCTTCGACAGCCGCCCCTTGTCTCTCCCTGGGGACTCTGAGCTGTGCTTATGCCTCCTTACTCGGGTCTCCTCAGAGGAGGCCTTGCTTAGACCCACTCTGCTGCTGGGGGGTGTCGGCTCAGCAGCGGCAGGAGTCCCCGAGGCACTGCCCTTGGTGGCCTCTTCCTTGTGAGAGAGGCCAGAGGAAGGAGAGGCAGTGACCTGCCGACGGAGAAGTTTGGGAGTCAAGCTGGGAGGGCTGGAGCCTGGGCTGGATTCCATGTCCTTGAAGACTTCATCAGCAGCCTCCTCGCTCTTCTTCACCAGCCGAGGAGGGGGTGTCACCGTGCCTCTGGCCACCTGCTCAGACCTGGTCTCACTGGCTCGTTTCCGAGGCAGAGCTGGCTTTTCGCTTTTGTGCCCCCCAAAGGTGGATGAATCGAACTGTTTGCCGGCAGATGGCAGGTCCCGAGGCAGGGTGACTGACCGCCACTCTGTGTCCCTGGCCCCATGGGGCATGCAGGAGGCTGAGCAAGAGCGCAGGAATCGCTTGCTGGAGCTGATGCCACTCTCCTCTTCATTGGCAGCCAGACGGCTGCTGGTCAGCGTGCTGGACTTTTTCCACAGGTTGGGAGAACGAAAGCCCGAGCTGCCTGGCTCCCGGAAAGCTCCATTGGGGACACCAGCCCCATTGCTGGCCTTTGGGGACTTGGCAGGCTCTGCTGTATCTGAGGGGGTGAGAGCTGGTGGCCCATTGCTGGTTTCCCGGCCATCATCCTCACTGGCCCCTCTGCGTTCTGGCTGGCCATCCATCTCCCGGAAGGAGCTGCTGCGCTTAGGGGGTGTTGGTGCCATTTTCTTCTTCTTCTTAATCAAGGCACTGAACAAGTTGGTCTTTTTGTCCTTGGGAAGGAGGCGCTCATCTTCATTTAGAGTGCAGTCTGGGGGCCCACGCTCCTTCCGAGGAAGCAGCGGTGACACGGCAGGCTCACTGTCCAGCACATCTGAAAGAGAGGAAGCATGAGCAAGAACTCCCTGGAAACTCTGTGCTCAAGGCGGGCCGACCCACTGTGTGGGGGTCCTCGCAGAGCTTCTGCACCCCAGCTTCCACATTCACCAGAGCTCGGCTGTATCAGCAGCTTATGCCGTGAACATAGTCACTGTTGGCAGAAGCACAGGTCTCGCTCCCCAAACACAGAGGGACAAGGGCTGAATGAGCCTGCCTTCCTTATCCTGAAACCAGTTAATGACGTGGAAGCCCTCAAACATCACCCTCTGGGTCAGCAGAAACAACAATGCCAAGGGTCAGACTGGCTGAGGCTCCTGAGGTGTAACCTGAAGAAGAGGTCAGACATCCATCCCATGGGGCCTGACAATCAGCTGCTGGGACGAATGGGAAAGAGAAGCTTTATAAAACTTCAAGCAGGTATTTTAAAATATGAGTGACGGTTCACAGATGCCCTTGTGTTGTCAGGCCGCTGTAGGAGCCTTCCCTCAGCCTTCTGGACAGAGACGGAGGGTGCACCTGTCCCAAGACTGCAGAGGACCACCCTAAACTTTAGTCCAGCTGAAGAAGGGGGAGAGATCCTACTGGGTCACAGAGCCACATAAGAACACAGATGTTAGGGACACTTCTGGCTTACCAGGAGATGACCTAGCAAAACACACAACCCTGCTTATACCTGCTTCTCTAAGCAGGTCTCCCACGGTAGCCCGTGGGTCCCACTGTCAGCGACTTGACAGCACAACAGTCAAGGGGATGAAGGCGCTGCCTGGGGGCCACAGCCAAAAGAGTGAGGAAGATGATCCAGGACTTCGACAATTTGGACTGTTTTTTTTTTTTTTTAAACCATGTACACACATGTGCATGCACATGCCGCAACATCCATGTAGAGGCCAGAGGGTAATCTTCCAACCTTGCTGTGTGCACCAAGCTATCTGGCCCTTACATTTCTGAGGGTCTTTCTGCAGGAGAGCTGGTGTTACAGATGTGCGCTAGTACATGAACGTGCAGACTGGAACTCGGGCCCTCGCAGCTGCTCAACCACTGAGCCACATCCTCAGTCCTATGTAAACCTTCCAAATACACACCCTTGCACTTGTGTGTGCTGTGCCTGTGCTGGTTAGTTTTATGTCAACTTGACACAGGCTAGAGTCATCTGAGAGAAGGGAACCTTAGTTAAGAAAATGCCCCCGGAGACAGAGGCAGGTAGATCTTTGTGAGTTTGAGGCCAGCTTAGTCTACAGAGTGAGTTCCAGGACAATCAGGGCTACACAGAGAAACACTGCCATAAAAAACAAACAAACAAACAAAAAAAAAAACCCCAAGACAAAAACAAAAAAACAAAACGAACCTCCCCCCTCAAAAACAGGAAAGAAAATGCTTCCATAAGATTGGGTTATACACAAGTTTTAGGTCATTTTCTCAACCAGTGATTGATGGGGGAGGGCCCAGCCCATTTTGGGTGGAGCCATTCCAAGGCTGGTGCTACTGAGTTCTATAAGAAAGCAGGTTGAGCAAGTCAGTAAGCAGCACCCCTCCATGGCCTCTCACCAGCTCCTGTGTTGGGGAATATTATTTTAAGGTGTCTTACTTTTGTTTATGCTGCATTTGTTTAACTCTGTGAAGCTGTGTTACTGTGCCTGTCTAAAACACCTGATGGTCTAATAGAACGGCCAATTGTGAGGCAGGAGCAAGGACAGGTGGGGCTGGCAGGGAGAGAGAATAAACAGAAGGAGAACCGAGAATGAGGAGAGCAAGAAGAGAATACGAGGGGCCAGCCATGCAGTCACTCAGTCACAGAGAAGAAGGGAAGAAAAGTACACAGAAACGGAGAAAGATAAAAGCCTAGAGACAAAAGGTGGTCAGGATAACTTAAGAAAAGCTGGCAAGAAACAAGCCACACTAAGGCCGGGCATTCATAACTAAGAATAAGCTTCCATGTGATGGGAACTGGGTGGCAGACCCCCCAAAAGTCAAAATAGTCAGAAAACAACATACAACACTCTGCATCAGGCTCCTGCTCTGTTTGAGCTCCTGACCTGACTTCCTTTGATGATGTAGAAGCATAAGCCAAGTAAACCCTTTCCTTCCCACGTTTCTTTGGCCATGATGTTTCATCGCAGAAACAGTAACCCTGACTAAGACGATCTTTAAAGTACTTTATGTGACGTGTGGGTTTGACCATTCAACTTCTCATTAATATGAGTAGAAGTTTAAAAAACACAACTTTGGATTCCTCTGAGTAAATACCCCTTATGAGTCCCTATCAGAACCAAATTTTGTGCTGTAGGGTCCCATGCAACCAGTCCCATGACCCATCAGGCCATGTTGGGAGCCCCTGGGAGCCTTTATGAGTACCATCCCCCCAAAGCTGACTTTGGTGGGTCTGCTGGCATGCAGGAAGCTCCAGGCACGACTGCTAATATCATCCCTGCACATCTCTAAGCACCTTCTGACCCAGCCCCACTGCCCTAGCTGAACCTAGGAAGAGTGTAGAAAGACACTCTGGAAACTACAGGGAGCTCCACCCTGTTTGGCTCAGTGTTATCTGTTGCCATGCATGTCCTGAAAGATGCCCACTGCACTGAGAAGAACACACGGAGAGGTGGGTGTGCTTCTTGGCTGGCACCCCAGTTTCTTGCCTGTCTAAGCAACTGCTGAATGGCTCCCCCCAGGGAGAATGGCAGTGCTGGGCAAGAGCTGGATCCTCCTCTCCAGGGCTGGAGCACTGACAAAGGTCTGCTGTTCTCTGCCAGCTCCACTGACAACTTCCTGTTCGCCGACCCTGGCTTGAGGGGGCGAGAAAGGCATGGACGTACCGCTTTCTCCCAGGCCCTTCATGTGGAGAAGCTCAGGGGTGTCAGGTGCGTCTTTCTGCTCAGCAGCTCTCCTGCACGTCCTGGTCTTGGTGGGCAGCTCTGGCGCCTGCAGCATGCTGCCAGCAGCTCCTCTCATGCCCCGCTTCCCCAGCTCCTTCTCCACCTCTAAGGATCACACACACAATCCAGCAGTCATCAGCAAAGGTGATGCCTTGAAAGGAACTCTCTTCTTGTTTTTTTAATTTTTTGTATGTGTCTGGGTGTTTTGCCTGCATGTATGTCTGTGCACTATATAGGTGCAGAGGCCAGATGAGGGTATTGGATCCCCTGGGACTGGAGTTGTGAGCCACCACCATCTGGGTGCTGGGAACTGAGCCCAGGCCCTGTGGTCACTGAGCTGTCTCTCTTTTTCTTAAGGTCTATGAAATTAGAGAAAAGGGACACAGATGCTGAAGAAACAACACAGCATTTTCTAGAACCCTATGTGATTGCAAATGAAACAGAACCACCGCTGAAGCGCTGTGTAGAGTTCTGGTCTCTCACTTGGTCTGGGTACTTTTTTTAAAGGAATAAACTATAGGCCTGTCTAGCCCCAATTCAACCTTTCAACCCATTGCATGCCCCCAAGATGTACATTACCATCTGAAATACTGGACTCCTGGAACATGGTTTCAAAGGCTTGGTGGATTTCAGCAAAGGAGGGCCGGTCAGAGGGATTCCACTGCCAACCTGGACAGGGAAGACCCACGTCAGAGTAGGAGGAAACACTGCTAACAAGCCAGGATTAGGACTAGCTACACCAAAGAACAGTCTGGACATGACAGAGGCACTCCAAGCCTGATAACTGCTGATGTCACGGCAAGTTAAAATACCAAATGCTATCATGTCCTATTATAGATGTGATGAATTTGAAAGGCGCTAAGCAGTGGTGGCACACGCCTTTAATCCCAGCACTTGGGAGACAGAGGCAGGTGGAACTGAGAGTTGGAAGTCAGCCTGGTCTGCAGAGCAAGTTCCAGAACAGCCAGGGCTACACAGAGAAACTCTGTCTCAAAAATCTAAAACAAAATAAAACAAACAAACTTTGCACAGTTTTTAGAAATGTCGGGGTTAAGTGTAGCGACACAAGGACACTTCTCTGCCTTGCTTATAATAAATACAGGACCATCAAGATGGCACTTGCTGCCAAGACTGATAACAAGTTTGATCCCTAGGATCCACATAGTAGAAAAAGAAAACCAACTCCTGCAAGTTGTAAGCTGTGGAATGGACAACCACATAAATAATAAATAAATGAATAAAGTTAATTAAAGCAAACAAATGTGCAAAACAGCCAAAAGTTCATCATAGGAGGGCAGATGAGTAGTAGAAGTTTTAAACCATTTACTGAAACGCTAGCCAGCTGTATAGAAGGTGGGAAATAGGGGTAAGGAAAAATTTAAATATTAAGGGAAAGGAGCAGTGTCTCTGATACACTACTAAGAGGAAAAAGGTGAAAGAGTAATCATATGAACACTGATAAGGCCATGTGCAGACACACAGCACATGCAGATACACACATATACTCACATAACATAAACACCACTACAGTTACATCGCCTGGAGCATTTATAGCCAGCCAGGTATGTGGAAGCAGGACACAGGAATTTATGTATTAATAAGAACCCAGGTTTGATATTTGTCTGATACTTTTTATGTTTAAAAAAATGAAAAGAACCTGGGCATGTGGTGCATACCTGTAACCCTAGAACCTGGGCACACAGTGGATACCTGTAGCCCTAGAACCTGGGCACGTGGTGCATACTTGTAACCCTAGAACCTGGGCACACAGTGCATACCTGTAACCCTAGAACTTGTGAGATCCAAGCAAGAGAGTCACTCTGAGTTCCAGGCCAGCCAAGGCTACAGATTCAAACCAAAAAAATAAACCAAAAAATATCACTCTCAAAGGTAAACAAAAACAACTCATACGTATAGTATCTGTAAATAAATGCACTGAAAGGCATCCCCAAACCAGACTCTATGAGTGGCTCGGGAGCACAGGAACAGTGCCAAGGGCCCACAGGAACAGCATTCTGCAGACACTTGTACCATCACAATTTCCTCAGTGCCCACATGCACTTTCTGAACAGGTTAGGGAGGCTCACATGCTCGCATGAGTTCGTAGACCTTCTCTGGGCAGCCTTCGGGGCGCTCCATACGGTAGTCTTTTTCCAGCAGCTCATAAACCTGTGACAGGTCAATTCCTGGGTAAGGTGACATGCCATAGGTAGCAATTTCCCAGAGCAATACTCCGAATGCTGAAAGAAAGGAAGAGGCAGACATCAGGGTGTGTGAGGCCCTGGCCAGCGAGATGGCTCAGTGGGTAAAGCATCTGCCTCACAAGCCTAAAGACCTTGGATCCCAGAACAACACGAAGGGGAAAGGGGAGAAGTGACTTCACAAAGTTGTCGTCTGACATTCACACATGCGCCCAAGTGTTCACGCACACACACATGCGCACACTCGCACACTCGTGGAAAGGAGGCAGCAGACAGCTCTCCCTGACAACAGTTCAGGAGAGGTAGGACAGAGCAAAGCTGTTTACTCACACTACATTGAAACACGTCAAAGGAGAGAAGGGGAAGGTGACCTCCTGGGGTACAGGGTCTCTTGGGTAAGTGCACGAGGGCTAGAAGTCAGAGACCATGTTTGCTTATACCTCTGTGACTATGTAGCTGCACGCCGTCAGGCCATTGGTTGTTTCTAGGTGGGCAAGATTATCCAAGGTCATTTCTAGCTCTAATCGGTTAGTAAACTTTGGAACTCCGAAGTCTTAATGTCCTACTTCCCACTAACAGAACCAGGGGTCCTTAGAAAAACAGGTGACTCAGATCTGGGACAGGGAAGAAGCCTGGAGTATCTTGTCATTCCAGACAGCACAGATATTATGGAAGACTATCAAAAGGGCAAGGGAGGTGCTCCTACTGGCCAAAGATGAGACATGCCACTGTTAAAAAGACCACAGTACACTGAAACATATCAGTGTGTGTCAACAAAGAGCTCATAATACCACAAAAGACTAGCAAATCCAACTGCCACCACCACAGGGCGCTTGGCTACGTGGGAGTCATGACAGGCAGCTCACTTGAACCCATTTCTGCACCAGCTCTACCACTGGGCAACCAAGCACTTGCCAGGCCTTTTATACTCTGTGGCTAACTAAATATGGAATGAGAGTGTTGGAGAATGATCACATGACAGCCTCAGTGAACCACTGATCTTGGCTCTGATCATTAAGGGCTGCTACACAACATCCCACTAGAGCAGTGGCTGAGACCTTCCTAATGCTGTGACTCTTTAACACAGTTCCTCTTGTCGTGGGGACCTCAACCATAAAATTATTTCATTGTTACTTCTTGACTGTGATTTTGCTAGTTATTAATTGTAATGTAAATATTTTTGTAGACAGAGGATTGCCAAAGCGGTTGAGAGCTTCTGCACTAGAGGGAGAAAAACCAAGCATTATAGATCAACCAATCTAAGAGTATGCCACCTCCTCTGATGTATTAAGTGAAAGAAAAGTCAACCAAATGCCATCAGCTACCCAGATCTGACTTTGAATTTTCTATGAGGATTGAAGCCAGAGGCACTGAGCAGATGACAGCTCAGGGACAACAAGCAAAGTCCAGAATCTGGAATCGTCTAAAGGAGAAGTGAGAGTTTATCAATAACGAAACAGCAGGGAACTAGAGTACTAATGGAGATACATCTGGCTCTCAGGTCAAAGTGTAAACAGACATGATTTTTATGGTTTAAATGGAAAAGAAAGCACTGGATATTTTATAATATCCAAAAACTATAAGAGTCATCTGTAAGAAGCAAATACTAAAGTGTTTATGTGAAAAATAGTATGTCTGAGATTTGCTTTAAAATGATAAGAGACAAGGGAGTGGGTAGGGCACAGGGCTCACTGAGGTCACCCTCAGCATGAAAAGTTCTTTAAATCAGACATTGTGGCACATACTTTTAATCTCAGCACCCAGGAGGCAGAAGCTGGGGGATCTCTGAGTTCGAGGCCAGCCTGATCTACAAGAGCTAGTTCCAGGACAGGAACCAAAAGCTACGGAGAAACCCTGTCTCGAAAAATCAAAAAAAAAAAAAAAAAAAAAAAAAAAAAAAAAAAAAAAAAAAAAAAAAAAAAAAAAAAAAAAAAAAAAAAAAAGGAATAAGACCAATATCAGGCAGCACTTCCACACGAAGGACCCTTTTTACAGCCCAAACCAAGAGAAAGCTCTCCCGTGGAGAGGGTGACGCTGGGTGCCTGCAGGGTTGTTGCTGCACCGTCAGGTCAGGTCTACAGCATTTGCGGAACGAAGACACAAATGCAGTGCTACTCTTGGTGACTCTGGAGGTCACTTGCTTCACTTTTGAAAGAAAAGAGGAAACAGGATTTTAAAATAAGCCAGAAAGAAACAAGAGGGTGTAGTGACGGAGGAAAGATGGAACAGAGAAGCAGAGGAGGGAAATCCCCACTGGCAAGGACGGCCCAGGACTGGCCCTTACCCCAGACGTCTGACTTGATGGAGAACTTGTTGTAGGCTAGGCTCTCAGGTGCAGTCCACTTGATGGGGAATTTGGCTCCAGCATGGGCCGTGTAGGTGTCCCCTGTCATCAACCTGCTCAGGCCAAAATCAGCCACCTTCACCAAATGGTTTTCCCCAACCAGGCAGTTTCGAGCAGCAAGGTCTCTGAGGAAGGAAAAGGGCATCTGTACCAGCTCCTCGCTGCCTCCCCAACTTTGCAGCCTCCCTACTGTTGACAGATGTGACACTAACACAAAGACAATCACATGTGGGCCTCAGAAGCTTTCCAATGCCTGGCTGGGAACAACAGTCCCTCAGCAAATACTAACTGGGCTGCCACAGCAGCAACACAAGCAGACAGGGTGGCAATGGGGGCAGATCATTACCTTGGAACTCAGCTACCTCAGCCATAAAATGCGGACAGAACAGGGCCTGCCTTGGGCAGTTGTGTATGATAATGGGTGGACGTAGAACACTTCCTCCGATATGGGAGAATAACAAGGTTACCGACATGCTTGTGTTGCTACTGCCCCACACCAGGCACAGGGAACAGTTAGCCCAATGCTCAGCTGCAAGAGACTGATGAGTCTCTCTGCCTGTCCTGTCTATACTCAGCAGGCAATGAAACTGAGTCTGCTGAACTCTTTACCCATATAATATACCCTCTCCTCTCCTCTTCCTTCCTGATGCCTACCCAAATATGTTTGAGAAACTTTTCTGTATAATCCACCTCCTCTCACCTCTTGAATCTTCTAGGGAAGAAGGGGTCTAATCTTTGGTTCATGGATGTTTCCCATGAAATCACAAGGGAACTGGGCACTGAGGAATGAAAAGATGAGGCAGCTGAGGGCGATGCTGCAGGATGCGGCTTGATCATCAGCAACGAGAGAGAAATTAAACACACAAGAGTTGTGCCTAATAGGATTTTTGGTAAGGCATTTTAAGTGTGTGAATGGAGGGGGAACAGAACTGGCCATGCAAGGCAAGCCAGAAGTCAGGAAATCTCAATTTGCAGCATCAGAGGCTTCACTTTGCTGAGCGACAGGAGCGTTTGGATTGGGCTCTCATGGAGCAGAAAAAAAATCTGTCTTCCGAGGGGTTGCCAGCATTTCACACACACTACTTATTCCTGGCTATGAAATCTCATGTCGAGGTTTCACACTTGAGTTAATTGGGTAGGAAAGGTCACCACAGTGGCGTGGAGAACATCTTGCATGACGGAGTCGGGCCAAGCCCATCAGGCTCCCTCCTGCACAGGTTGTCACTCTGCTAGGAAGCCACTTCCACCAGCAAAGCATGCAAACCCAGATAATTGTGGCGCACTTGAAGGTCAAAACACTCTGGGTTTTAAAAGCAGCAAAAATGCCTAGTTCCGGCTTGCATATTCTGTACATTTCTACAGCCATGGAAACATCCCCAAACCCAGTGACAGCTGGTGGACAATGAAACACAAAGAGAAGGAAGAAAAGCCACACACTGAAACTAGGCCTAGGCCCTGGCTTCCACTGTGCCCAGGCAGAGATTTTACTGAGTGTTGACCTTGGGCTGTATTGTTTCAGAGGGAGCCATGGCTATTAGGAAGGAAAGAGGCCTTTTACAAATTTCATTTAATATTTACTAAGTCTAAAATGGCTCAGAAATGAAACACTTCTTTCCTGGGAATTAGCTGCTCCACTGGCCCAGGCCTGAGGCCTGAAGGACCTAGTCCCGCCTGCCACAAGCAGCACTTACGTCAGGCATTTGTGTCTGCCTTTGTTTCAAGAGCTAGTGAGCTGCCAGCACCAAGGCTGGGAGTTGAGTACAAAGGCTGGTATTCTGAAGCAGGGTGAGGTGGGGTGGGGTTGTTTTGCCCAACCCTACCTGTGGATGAAGTTCTTCTTCTCCAGGTACTCCATGGCGGATGAGATCTGTGTAGCCATGTAGAGCAATACCACGGCGCTCACCTCCTGCCGGTTACACTCTCTCAGGTAGTCCAGCAGGTTACCATAAGTCATGAACTCTGTGATGATGTAGAAAGGGGGCTCCCGGGTACACACCCCTGACAAGACATGAGGGGCGTCAGCATATGGCTCCTCCCAAGGGAAGGAACCCTAGAAAAGTCTGGTGCTGAAGAAAAGGCTTCTGAGCTGGTGAGATGGCTCAGCGAATAAACGTGTTTGCCACACGGGCCTGCCTGCCCCGAGACCTCATGGTGGACAGAGGGTAACCGACCCTACTTGTCTTCTGACCCCTCCCCCCCATCCCTCAAACACACAGTTGTCTTTGATTAAGAAACGATGCTCACTCAGCACACGGACATCTGGACAGAGCCCCTCTTCTGAGTCTGTGCATGCTTACCTAGCAGCTGCACCAGGTTAGGATGCTTGATCTCCTTCATCACTGCAGCCTCCTTCAGGAACTCCTCCACCTCCATGGTGTCCTCCTGCAAAAGGGAAGTTCAGGAGCATAAGATTTGTTTAGCAAGAAAGTGGCTACGAGAAAGGACACAGCTTCAAGACCTAATGAAATAGCAGAGGCAACTACGCTCGGCCTAGGCCACTGTTTTTGGTGACCAATGGTTACACTGTTCTTGCCAAGCTCAATGAGTCCTGTCCTGGTGATATGCAGAGTCCTGTGGGGCAAATTCTCACCAACAGCATTATGGACTGAATAGAAAATGTCACCAACAGGCTTATGTCTTGAACAGCTGTTCCCCAGCTGATGGAGCAATTGTGGAAGGCTGTGGACCCTTCAGGAGGTGGGGCTTGTCTGGAACGAGTTCTCATTACAGACAGGTTTTTAAAGGTTAGACCCAGTCTCTGGTTCTAGACCAGCTATGATCATGGGAATGGTTTTGCCACACACTCCTGCCATTATAGACCAGACCACTCTGCCATGCCATCCACAGTGATAGATGGAAACCCTCTGACACCATAAACCAAACTGGATTTCTTCTCCCTTGTTTCTACCAGAGAGTCAATGGGTCATGGGTCAGAGCTGCTTGGCACTGCTGCCTGGGTCTTCTGTGCTCTTGGAGAAGTACAAACACTATGGTATTGATTCCACAAGTACTGTGTGCTTCCCAATCTAACACCCTTAACGTTAAAGGGGGAACAGTGTCAAGAATCTGAAATGGAGCTGGCCCAAGAGCCGCATCTCCAGAGTGCCTCTCACTGGCAGAAGTAGCAGACAGATACCAAGTTGCTTAGGTATGCGGCACCGTGAGCACCTAATGAAGCAATCACCACTGACTAGGGGGTCAATCACCCAGATTCTAAAATGATCTTAGCAGCAGCTCTCTGACAATTCACAGTGTCTTCTGTGTAGGTCACAGTACAGGGCCAGAGACAGGCAGACTGCCACTCTTTCCCTCTTTCTTAGACTGAGTCTGAAGGACTGTTCTCTGCTCTTCAGCCTCCTTGCAAGTTAAGTCACTGCCTCTTAACCAACTACCACAACAGGAACAGGCAGCGGGGAGTGACAGAGTCTCCCCTAGCTGTAAGAACAGGCTCTAGAGGCAAGGAGGACAGCAGGCCACATGAGGTGTCTGCAGGGAGTCTGCCTGTGTGGTAGGAAAGAGACTTCTTGAAAATTAGCTTCTCTGTGTAGATAGTTCCATCAGACCTTGTGCCAAGTGTGTATAAGTGTCCACACTTTTCCCGTGCCAACTGTGTAAATGTCTACACTGTGTTTGTGCCAAGAGTGGAACTATTCACAAGGCTGGCACTCTGGCTGTTCCAGTTCCTGCTCTGGCAAGGGAAAAGACACTCCAGAGGATGGGCCAACCTTTTCTTGGGGCCTCTTCCCTTTGGTCAGCCATGCTGAGAAGCAAAGCATGATCAATGCCAGTGTGCTGGTCTGTTACCACTAAACACAGGTTCCAAAAGACTAAACTGAGATGTGACCTGCTGCTCTTTAAACTTGAGCTGCTCTAATGTTGCCACAGCATGTTGCCTGTCACTGCCCAAGCTAAGCAGAGGGCACTCATTCTCACGCTACCAGTGGCTGCTGGACTTTCCAAGTCCCTTCTGTTTCTCAGCTGCTTGGCAGCCTGTCTGGCTCTGGGGTGCAACACTCTGATGTACCTGGTGACACACTCTAAGACTAGTGGTGCCTGCCAGAACCCAGGGGTGCTGCACAATACAACTGGCTATGACACGTTATTCTCCAGTGAGCCTTTCTAACATTCACATTTAAGTCTTTCTACTTTCTTTCTGTCTTTTTTTTTTGAGACAGGGTTTCTCTGTAGCTTTGGTGCCTATCCTGGAACTTGCTTTGTAGACCAGGCTGGCCTCGAACTCCCAGAGATCCGCCTGCCTCTGCCTCCCGAGTGCTGGGATTAAAGGCATGTGCCACCACCACCTTGTGCCTTTCTTTTCTAATGGAACGCACTACAGTAAACCACACAGGCACATCACCTCAGAAATCTCACTTGCTGTGGAACCATCTACCCTTTTCTTAAAAGGCCCATGATGATGAGACAGAACATTATTCAAAAATCACCTTTCTACTGTCTACCTACAGATTTCCACCCTGTCTCACACACATGGAACAATCATCCTCCCTGCCTATCCATATGCCTGACTTCACCCCCTCACCGACACACACACACTCATTCCTTCCTGTGTATCTGTATGCCTGACCTCCACCCCAACACACACACACACACACACACACACACACCAATCATTCCTTCTTGTCTATCCGTATGCCTGACTCCATCCCAACACACACACAGAGTAATCATTCCTTGCCTTTTTTCTTTCAGAAAAGAACCAGTGTGAGTTTGTCTCCCCCTGCTGGTATTAGACATGATTTATTTCTTATTTTATGTGTAACCTAGGTTTTTAACTGCTGAAATTTAAAAGACAAAACAAAATATCAAAACTGCCATTCTAACTTGCGAAGCTCCTCTGCTTATTTTTTAAATGCACACCATCCTTCTTCCATTTACACAGTAAAATAGGACTATGATGGGTTGTGTGGAAGAAACACTTAGAGGCCTGAATTTTCCTTCATCTTTTTGTCCCTTACGCTTGTTGGGGAGAGAGGGATCAATTGCTTTCTTCATAGGGTCTGATGGGCTCCAACCTCTTGAGAGGAAGCAGGATCCTCTAAGACATTCCTAAAGAGTGACTAAGAGGACAGCTTGTCAGTTTTGCTGACCAGTTCTTTCTCCCTGGTAACTTAACATTCTCTCTCCTCTCCTCTCCTCTCCTCTCCTCTCCTCTCCTCTCCTCTCCTCTCCTCTCCTCTCCTCTCCTCTCCTCTCCTCTCCTCTCCTC